AGTAAATTCTAGAGAAGAGTCAAGAAGCTCAACATCGTATTAATAAAGAGTTGTCATTTTCAATAGATAAAAGGATGGTACCAAAAATATACATACTTGGCTAGGGACATAGACACATAAAAGGAGGTTTAACATTTTGTTTAATTTTTGATAAAAGTAAATAAAGTACCAAACTTCATGGCTCGTGCCAAACAGGAGAAAGATGACACCCTGGAGAACAAAGATATAATAAAGTTTGCAGAATAAATCCTAAGTGTCCATTGTAGATTTGCAGAGTATAAAAAAAGAAAGGAGAAATGAGTTAAATTGTAGTAACTAGAAATTGCATTTAGGCCACACAATCTTTGAAACTACGTACCAGTATCCCCTAATGTGAAGCACAGATTATGTAGAGATTTGATAGTGAAAAAAAATTATTCGAAGATCTAAGAATACTTTTCTTGTCCAGCTCATTCTGTAACGCCCCAAAACATACCCTAGAATTATTAATAAATAAATAATAAATTAATCAAATTGGTTTTGATTAAAAATAATTTATTGTTGGACTTTGGGCCGAAATAATATGTGTTTGATATCCAATATCTTAATCTGGATAAATCTCATAGAGATAAACCCAATATGTTGACTAATAGTGTAATCTTGGTTGGGAACCTAAGTACAAACCCAAAATCAGTAATAAATGAATAATGTGTTTATGATGTAAACTTTAAAATGATTTATTGAAATAAATCATGAGAATAAATAAAATGAATTTAGTATGAGTACCTTTTTAAGTAAAGGTCAAATAAATCAATTTTGACTTTGTCAAAGTCAACCACCCAAAAATATGATGTCGGAAAAAAAGTATTACAAATAATTATGAAAAGTATATCGTTGGATAGAGCTCGACTGTCTGATCGCAACGGTGCAAACGGATTTCAATTTGGAGAAAGTTGGACCAAAAAGTGTACCAGAACTGGAACCAAAATTGGTCCTAATCAGGGACACTGTGGAGATGGCGCCTCCCAGCGCACTAGAAAATTTCCCTCGCAGCACCACTTCACCATTGTCTCATTCTTCTTCATTTTTCCTATTTAAGGAAGGAGAATTAACTTCCATTTTTGCACCAAAACATAGTAAGTTTAGTATCATTGTGTTCCTTGTTGAGTGGAGAGTTCATTGGCGCTGTCAATTTGGTGTGAAGTCGCCGGAGTTGGGAGAAATACTCGCCGGAAGTTTCGCCGGAAAATTTCCAAAACCTCCATTAAGCTTCGAGGTAAGCCCGTAGATATATCTAATCACTAGAATGTTCATATAGGTCGTTTCTACGTTCATAAATGGTCATTTGGTTGAGTTTTGTGTTTGACATGCTTGAAGAACTAAGAATCATAAATCATGAAATTGATGTTAAAATTATGAATTAATGATGCTAAAATGATCCATGAACCTTGGAGAATATTTTTATATACTTTAATTGAAGTTTGGGAAGTAAAAATGACATTTCCGCAAGATGACTCGAGGTAGAAGACGATGAACAGTCGACTATCAACTTAAAAATCGATTATAAATTGTTCTGCAGATTTCTTTTTGGAACAGAGCTGAGCAACAGTCGACTGTCAGAATGTGACAATCGACTGTCAGCCCTCTCTGAAGTTTGATAATCGATTATCAGAGTGTGATAATCGATTATCAGCCCATTCTGAACATCAGACAGTAGATTATCAGAAGTGACAGTAGACTGTCTCCCTACACTATTGAAGAAAATGAAGCTAATAGTTAATAATTGAATTTCCTATCATATATTAATCAATTATTGTTTAGAAAACATGATTTTTGAACTATGAAATCCTATTTTTGATACCAATTAATTATGCACAATATAAATATGATTTTGTATAATAAAAATGATGTTTTTGGCATATAAAATACTATGTGATGCATGACGGTAAGTTC